AACATTAGGATTTCAAGCTACTAGCTTTGGCCCTTAGGGTTTCCAAAATTATTGTTGGTCAAAACGAATCGTTTTGAAACTGTTTGGGGTCTATGCTGGTATAATGATTTTGGTGTAGCTTCCCATGGGCTTACAGAATCAGACATGAAATTAACATAAATCATACAGTTATATACTCAGGGCTGAGGGCTACGAGTTTGGGGGCGTTGTGGGGAAGGAAGGCCCAGGTTTGCCTTTGGGTGGGTTAATTTAAGGCCTTGTTGGCGGGATGGGCTGGGGGACGAGGACATGGCCCCCAAAAGGTTTATTGGGGGCTTGCAAGCACTCGGCCAGGTAGGAGGGGGCCCGCAAGCAGAATCAATAGAGGATTGATCGAGGCTACAGCCTGGCTCACTGCAATATCCACTAACATCGACAAACAGAAACATGGGCATCCGGATTTATGCACTTCATTCATTGAGTTCCTCCTCGACCCATCAACGTAGGGACCTGGTGAAAATGATTGCGTCGCCACCACGAGACATCATGCAGGCAGTGATTGTCACAATGTTTGGTTTGCTTAAGTGCTCACACGGTTTGGGCAGGCCAGGGTTTGGAGCCCCAGGGCACCCAAAAGAACATTCGTAATGATATTTTCATTGAACGCGGTGGCGTGGTTTGAATCAGCCGTGGTGCAAACATTTAGCCAATGGCAGGACTCATGCTGCTGAAGCCATGTGCCAGACTAATGAGGCTTGCTTGAAACAAGCGGAATCTGTCAGAGGCAAAGCCGTGCTCTGGGACATAAGTCATGTTTCGCCTCTGCGCAGTGCAATGATTGCAATGTTCCTCACTCCTGCACACGTTTGAGTATGTGTCTGGAAGATTAGTCTGAGCTATATAATCACCTTGGTACTCACTGCCCGCAAAAAGGAAACTTGCTACCTCCTGATCTTCATGAACTGAGCGTGGATAGAAGGCGGAATTCAATGCCCCGTTTCACCCCTATTTCAAGACAGTCGCTTCGGCTCGGACAGTCCTGATGAGATACGTGCCCGGTTTTTCTGTTTCCTGGTTTGCTGTTTTGGGGGTGGTTGTGGTTGTTGTTTGGTTTTGTGGTTTTGGGCCTTGTCCTTTTCCTGGCTCGTATCTTCTCAGTTATCCTATTTAATTCAATCAAGGTGACTTGTGCCTTTCGGCACACACAGCGCCTCCACTCGTGCAAAAAAAGTCACTGTTGACCTTGCTCACGGCACTTCGTAGGATGTTGAAATTCTCCGAGTGCCAATCACCAAAGAGGCAAGGGCAATTATACCCCTGCCAACTGAGTGAGGCCACTTTTGACTGGCCGTCCCGAGCAACCACCCACGTTCAGATGCATTTTGCCTTTCAGAAGCATGAGTGACAATTCTAAGCTGCCCCTATACTGATCTCCTGTAGCTTTGGCTCAACTGTCAGCTTCCCCTGGTGTGAACACGTCGGAGTGCTTGGTTAGCACTCATGTCGACCTGGCCACCCTGGTCTCCCAACTAGTTGCGGGAACCTGTTCAGCTGGATCACGACAGTGATATTGACGTCACGCAATTCGTTCGTTTTGAGACTCAGTTTGAGGATATAGACTATGGCGTACTTGACGTGGTAGTTTCCTTCCGACATGAAGGGCACCTAGTTCACATGTACCTGTTGCACTACTTCGCGCTCACCGAACGATATGACAAGGATGGTAGCGTCATGACACGGACTAAATCCTGCGTCCACTAGCAGTGTATCGAAAAACTGGTGGCACCAGTGGTCCATACCAGTATCGTCCCCCTGACAGATGTGCACTATTCTGATGAATATGAACTGAGCGCAAGGGATGAATTCATTCCCCTGACAGATGTCAGTTTCGCAGAGCACGATGCCTTTGATCTGTGCACGCAACTCACACTCCCAAAATGGATCCGACTCTAGCTTTGGTCAGATCAAGCAATGTATCAGCTGTGGAAGCTGGTGTTGGCCAAATCACCACTGCTCTGCTTAGAAGCATTTTTTGCCATGAGATGATTCATCCACCCACTGGCCTTTTTGTTGAAAGGCCCAGAAGGCCAAGATATCAGGCTCCACTTCACCTTCTCCAGGCTGTTAGCTGATGGTGCAGCCCAGAAGCAAGTTTGGAGCAGCAAAGGTGGGAGTGGGCAGAAGTTCTGCTTTTTGTGCGCCAATGTTCGAGCCAGTGGCACCACAGAGGACCAGATGCCCTGCAACATCACCAAGTACAGCCAGTTGGTGCTGACCAGTGATGCAGAGGTTCGCCAATCATATGCCAAATTGGAAGCCAAAAGACCCAGTGTACCAAAGCAGGTTTGACATGTGGCAGGGCCACAGGCTGGAACCACAGCTCCAAGGCTTTACTTCTCGACCCAGACTTGAAATCCATGGGTATCTGAGGCCATGCAGCCAATTTGCACATGATTACATGCGTGGCATACTGCACTGAGCAACGCCCATTGTGTTATACCAGTGGCTGTGTGACATGGAAGAAGGTTTCCAAGTATGGTCTGGCTTGGAGGCTTACTTCCAATTTGGGGTTTTCCCAAGAGCTTGGAAGTGCCAGCATGTTGGAACAGATTTCTCCAAGAAGAAGATGACAAGCCACAAAAACAATCAAAAGATTTCAGTCCAAGCTTCAGAGTGTTTAGCCATATACCCAATTGTGCGCCAGTTTGTTTACAATGTGCCATTGCCCAATGGCCTCCAAGCTCCAGCTTGCCAGGCTTTGCTGGCAATGGCATCTCTCATTGACCAGGTCCATGATTTGCTGGCGTCATCAGCAAAGGCACTTTATTGCCAGCCATAGAGCCGGCCATACAATGATTCCAGACTGCCTTCCCAGAAGCGTCATTGATAAAGAAATGGCATTGGCTGCTCCATATGCCAGATACATAGCAAAGATTTGGCTTCCTCCCATCATGCTTTGCCAATGAAAGAAAGCACAAGCCAATCGGCCAACTGGCCACTAGTTTGCTAAACAAGAAGCATTTTGAAACCAATCTCTTGGAGCAAGCTCTTGCCAAGGAGATCTGCCACTTGAACCAGCTTCCAAGAAAAGTTTGCAAACTTTATCCAATCTGATTGGCGAGCCAATTGGAGAGGCCAAGAGCAGCCAGTGTGCCAAAGTGAACCATATGAGTTGCTTCAAGGATGACATTGTCATTTACCAGGCAGGTGAGTCCATGGGGATTGCAGAAAATCCAATTGCATTTCCTATTGCATGATGTTGCCACTTCGTT